GCAATAGGAAGTGCTTCATGAGGTCATGCGAGGACACCGTGCCTGTGGAGGTTTGAATGAGAATGGCCCCCATAGACGCACATAATTGAATATTTTGGTCCCCTTTTGATGAAACTGTTTGGGAAGGATTGAAAGGTGTGGCCTTGTTGGAGGAGGTTGACCACTGAGCTGAGTCTCTCTCTCTCTCTCTCTGTCTCTCTCTCTGTCTCTCTGTCTCTCTCTCTCTCTCTCTCTCTCTCATATGCTTATAGATCAGAGGTAAGCTCCTCATCATGACAGTCATGGACTCTAACTCTCTGAAACTGAAAGCCCCCAATAAACTCTTTCTTCCTTAAGTTCCTTGGTCATGGGATTTTGTCACAGCAAAAGAAGGGTAACTAAGACAGTGCCCTTTGGCACATAGAAACAGCTAGCTTGCAGGCCTTGGTCCTTAGGGTACAGGCCTTCACCCATCAGGGAGACTCTCAAAAAAAAGCAGAGGTCCTTGAGACACAAGACTTCATAACTTACTCTCTGAGTCAAAACACCCCAAGAGCCATGTGGGGACCAGCTTGGGAACCGCATCCCTGCAGGTGCTCTCCTTGGGGTCATTTCAGCCCAAGAGTTCCCTAGAATGCGATGACCCTGGGGCTGCATGTCCAGCAGGCTGAGAGGAACAGAAGTCCTGAGGGTGGACATGATGCATAGCCACACATTGCCTCTGACAAATGACCAAATGACATGGTGACTCTGTCTTCACAGCAGTCCCTCTAGCTCTGTCACAAAAGTGCTGCCCCCAACTGGCCTTTGTCCCATCCTTCTGATCACTAAGGGCATTTCAGAAACATCCTACTGTGTCCACATCACACCACTGCCTGTGCTGACATCACACCACTGTGCTCACATCACACCACTGTGTTCACATCACACCACTGTGTCCACATCACACCACTGTGTCCAGATCACACCACTGTGCTCACATCATATCACTGTGTCCACATCACACCACTGTGTCCACATCACACCACTGTGTCCACATCACACCACTGTGCTCACATCACACCACTGTGCTCACATCACACCACTGCCTGTGTCCACATCACACCACTGTGCTCACATCACACCACTGCCCGACTGGTGAATATTTCTGAAAGTCATGAGAATCCCATCCTTCTCTTGTTCCCACTTCCCTGTCATCCCCCCGGGTACCAAAAGACACCCAAGCAGGGAGGATTTCCAGGACTGCCCGGGACCATGCCTCTGTTTAACCCCCTCCTCCATGAATATGAGCCACTGAAGCACGTGGAACATTCCCCAGGTCCTCACTTGCACATTCTGCTCTCGGGGCCCTTCCAACCTTTCCACCAGGGGAGCCGGTTACTCTGCAGAGTGACCTGGTCCTGAAGGGCCACAGAAGAGATGTCCCACACCTGCAATCCCAGGACTCAAAAGGTAGAGAGGCAGGAGGTGCAAGGCCAGTGTCGGATACATAGTAACACACCATTGCAGCCACCCCTCACCCATCTCTAAACAAACAAGCGAAACTGAGAGGGAACTTTCCCCGCACAGACTACGCACAGCCAAGGCGTTGCCCTGGGCTGGGTGCCTTCCCAGTGCCAGCTCTCTTCTGCTATCAGAAGGTCAGCGGCTCCTCTGCCTGCTCCCACGTCACTTCCCTCACACTGAGCCTGCTCGCCTCTTTCACTCAGCCTGCCAGTCCTTCCAACTCCAGCCCAAATTCCTTCTTCCCCCTCGGAACACCTTATCTAGGTCCACCGTCTTCCTCCCCTGAGCCCTTATGCTTCTACTTAGTCTCTGCCATATTTCCACTGTTAAACTCCAGGATCCGTTTGTGTCTCCCTGGAGGCTCTGACCTGCTCAGACTACTGAATGAACGCAGAGGGTGTGGCGGGGTGCAAACTGAGCAGTCTTCTCCAGTGCGGCATGGCAGAAAGGGAAAGGGAACCTACTGACTTCTGGTTCACGTGGATGGAGGAAGTGGGCGCTGGAGCCTGGTAGCTGGTGTCTTAGTTTCCAAAAAACACTGGAAACAGTTCTGCAAACAGCGCCTAGAAGAAGCAATTTCAGAAGCTGTGAGATCCATCTGCAGACAGGGCACTTCCCATACCCCCAAGGGTCCCCAGCAGAGTAGACCTTGTGACATCTGCAAGTCCACGTGCCACTGCATCACTAGAGTAAAAGTCCCACAGCCATCTCATTTCTGCGTAGTCATTTCTTCTGACCTAATTCTGCCTTAGAGAGAAACAGAGGGAGGTGAGACATTCCGTTCTTCAGGGATGCTTTCTTTGAGCTCAGGAAATAAACAACCCAGAGGCTTCAGGATGTAGGCATTTCCGGCTGGATGGGGATGGGACAGGAGTGGGTCAGGTATTCTGGCACTTGGGAGTCACAGAATACTGAGTGTTACACAGCTCAGATGGAAAGGTATCCTGGAGCTCGGGAGCCAAGGACCACCACAGGTTGCAGTAAACTTAGCTGCTTACAGCCCAGCCTCATGGAAAGGCTTCCCCAGTGTATCTGCTCTGCTCCGGCAGAACAGGGTCTTCCAGCTGGGGATGCTCGCCCAGTGTAGCAGTTTTGCTTGGCAGGAGGTTTCTTGGGCGAAGTTGCTACAGCTCAGCTCTGCTTCTGGAGAGCCGGGAGCGGCCAAGAGAAGGTTTCCCCGGGCAAGTGTTACAGCCCTGCTCTGCCCAGGGTCGCCTCTGCTCCGTCGATCTTCACCCAAAGCTCATTGAAGGGGTTTATTGGGAGGGAAGAATCCAGGAGAGTGGCTGCCCTCTGCCAGAGTGGCAGAGGACAGCGTGGTAGCATGAAAAGCCACAAGCTGAACAGACACAGGGTTTATATAGGGCTTTCAGGGTGGGGATTGGTCAGATTTTAGTGCTGAGCTCAGATTGGCTAGAGCTCTGCTCAGGGATTGGTTAGTTTTCTGCACAGGATGTGTGTTTCTTTCTCTGGTCCTTTTTAGCCTTTTGGCTCCAATTTTAGGGCCAGGGTGCATTTCTTTCACTGACTTTGATTCCAGGGACAAAGTGTATTCTTTTGGCACTGATTTCAGGGTCAGGGTACATTTCTTTAGTTCTGGTTGCAGGGCCAAAGTGTTTCTTTGGCTCCGCTCAGGGTGTGTTTCTTTGACTGGACCGTTTTCCCTACACAGGAAGTTCCTGAAACTGACCAGGTATACCTGACCCCTTCCTCCTCAAGCATAAATAAGTAGTGAGGACTGCTGCACTGCCCGTAGCGACCAACCAAGCTGCGTCGATGAGGTGAGGCCACCTGAGCTGCCTGGAAGAGTCGCCTTCCAGCCTGCTGAGTCATTTGCATTTTGTGCAGTGTGCCCAGCTTTCTTGAGCTGTCACCCATGCTGGGAGAGCTTTGGTGATGCAGCTGTCTTCGAGTCATTTCTGCTCGTGTAAGTGACCCCTCACCCACACTCCAGTAAGCATCCCTGATAAAACTCAGTGGGTCACCAAGTAAGTTGGTATCCGTGCTTGGTTCCCTGTCTGAGGAGACACTTTTGTTCATGTCTCTCCAGTAACGGTCACACAACACACATACACACAACTACACAGGCGAACGTTTCATTTAAAAGCTAGTCTCGGGAAAAAAAAGTAGAATAACATTGGAGAAGCTTCTCCCATCTACGCTCTAACCAGGCCAACTCTGCGTAGTTTATGAGATTGGATGCATTCAGGGAGGTATAGACTCCGGGAGCTTCCAAAGGACGACAATCCAAGAGCCCAGCAGCCTGCACAAACCAGCGGCTCTCGGCACTCAGCCTTGGCTTCCTGAGCAACCAAAATCCTTCACTTGTGCAAACAGCCTTTAGAATCTCCCTCTACTTCCAGAGTGGAAATCATTAGGTCCCTACTTCCAAGAGTCTTTGCTTCAATTTTTGTTCCACCAAAAACTCCTTCATAGGGTCCATAGTGGCGGCCCCATTGGCCAAGTGTGGGATCCAAGACTACTCGCTGTTCTTTCCAAATGCAAAATTCTATGGCTGGTTTAGACACACGGTGGTGGCTGGAAAGCCCCGTCAAAGGGGGCAACTGGAACCAGGAAGACCTTTGTGACAGGATAGTAATCAAACAAAGGAATGGGTCTACAAGGAGACGGAGTCCTAACGTGTGAGGAATGTGGAGTGCATCAATACACTCTTAAGGGGACCCCTGGAGATCTGGAAGGTCATGTCTACACTCACTCCATCTGCCTTTAATCTGCCAAGTAGGCTTATCCAAGGCATGTTACATAACAGTGAAACGAGATGCCAAAATTTACTGTGTGCTAGCAGCATTTTAATTTACTGTCGCCTTCTAGGTGCTTCAGGTTGGGCCACACAGCCTAAGTGGAGGGACCGTAGGTGAGGTTTTGGGGTGCCAGGACATGCCTTACCTCTGATGCAGTGTGGGATGTATGTGGCGAGTTTACTCTATGTGAGTGGAGTGGGGCGTGTGGGTTGTACAGGGTTGTGTGTGATGGGGAATGGGGTGTGTGTAGTGTGTATATAAGGAGTGTGGCACAAGGGATGTGGGGGTGTATACAAAATGTGTGTGTGTGTGTGTGTGTTATGCATGAGTAGTGTGGCAAGGTGTGGGAAATGTGGATATTCTGCATGGCATGTCTGTGTGTGTGCAGAGCGTGCAGGGTGAGAGCAAGGCCTAACTAAGATCAGAATTTCTTCCGATCTTACTCGTGCTCTGGTGGCTGGACCAATTCTGCTCCCTGAAGACAGCAAACCAAGGGCTTCTTTACTGGGACTCCCATGAGCAGAGGCAGCTGTTCCTACAAGCCCTTAAATTGAACATGTCGCCTTGCAGGCCCTCTGTCCAAAAGTCCCTCAACTCAAGCCTTCCACGTCCTGAGACCAGAACCCTTTGGAAGTAATATTCCTGGTGCCCTAAATCCAGGCAGCTCTGAAGCCTGGCTCTTCCAGTCCACTCCACCTCCTCCACCCACACAGCTGAGGTCACCCAGGCCCAGCCTCTTTTGCAACTTTCCCAAGTCTGTGCAGAGAAAGGAGGAAAACTCAGAGGGAAGTGGCCTCTTACCAAACCCTTTTACGTTCTCAGTACTGGCCAGCGTGAAACTGCCACTCCGGGGAAGAGGCGCCCAGGCCCAGAACTCCCTCCTGTGTGAGGTAAGTGCCGCGCAGCCTGGCTGTGAGTGTCCTGGCAGCCTGTCTGTCCTTCCACGTGCCCCGCAGCTCCTGAACTGTCTGGGTGTTGGTGAAGAGGACTGGAAACAACGGTGCAGGGATGAGGTTAAGAATGGGGCAGGTGCAGGGTTTAAATGCAGTCCAAAGACCCCTGCCCTCAGAAAGTTCCTGGGAGTGGTGGAGAAAGCCCTTCCCTCCCAGTCACAGGGAGCTGGGGCCCTGCTCGGGGATCTGTGGCAGTGCCAGACAGGACCCAGTAGCTCAGTCTCAGGAGGATGGCACTATGCCCCTAGACCTGCAGGGCTTGCCAGAAACGGGAGCCTTCCAAGGGGGCTGGGTCCCGCAGCATCTGGCCTCTCCTTGGCACATGAACAGAGTGCCTTCTGGGATGTTGATGTGGGGACGATCAGAGAAAGTAGGAGAACATCCCCCTTGTTCTATCCCTTAAGCATTTCTTCTGGCAAAGAGCTGTAATGCATGAGTCAATGAACTGAGTAGGGCGGACTGGGTTCTACTCTAAGCTGGCTGCTAGTCTAGTTTGTTGTTGTTGTTGTTGTTGTTGTTGTTGTGTGTGTGTGTGTGTGTGTGTGTGTGTTTTGTATACATGATGGGTGTGCCTGTTTAACCACAGCATATGTGTGGAAGTCAGAGGACAACTTTGTGGAGTGGGTTCCCTCCTTGCACCTTTAAATGGATTCTGAAGATAAAACTCAGGTCATCAAGCTTGCATGACAAGTACCTTTACCTGCTGAGCCATCTTGACAGCTACCAACTCATTTTTTAATCCACTGAGCTAAAATAACGTTTTTGTAAAAGGCAAGTGTTCTATAATTTCTAGGCATTGTGTATTGATAAAAATGATTGCTTTGGGCTTATTGGTAAATCCATCACTACAAAGAACCTACAGAGACACTAGTTTCTGAGTATTCTTAGACACACAGTGTGCTATTGCATAGCAGGCATGTACTACACGGGTGTGTGGGTGGACAGATGCATGTATGGATGAATTAATGCATGCATGGATGGATAATACATGGATGGGTGCATCATTATTCAGAAGTTTCTATATTCCCAGCTTCAGTCACCACACTGGGGACAGGGATACACAGAGATACAAGGTGCTGTCTACGGTATAGGCAGTCTACTTGGGGAGTCAGGACAAACACCTCCCCAAAGAACTTAAAGAAAGAGAATGTTGAGCCTTCTAAACCAGCACTGTGGGTGTTACTTTGTGGAGGAAGCAGGTTTAGACCTGCAAGGATTTGGGTGGGTGAGGCAGACTCAGGTGATCCTGGCAGGCAACAAGGCTTCCTGCTCTGCAGAAATCTCACTAAACAGAAGCCTTTACACTCAACTTGTGAGTCCCACTGTTTTTGTTTGTTTGTTTGTTTTTAGACTGATCATAGTACGGGGTGCCAGAGGGAAAAGAAAAGCTATGGGGTAAAACAAGAAGCAGGGGAAGATTGTATACTGGGCAGGGAATTGGGCTTGCTACAGAATTCTCAGCTGCCCCTGCTCTCTGGTCTCCCTGACAACTTGTACGGGGCCTCACCCAGGACAAGTAAAGCAAGAGACTGTGCTGGGTCCCCGCTGGAGCAGCGGGATAGGGAGGGAAAGGACGTGGAAAGGTGAAGACTGAAACCCTCGAGAGTCCTTGCAGACTAGTCTCAGGTCCAAGTGCTCCACAGCAACTGAAGTCTTCCAGGCTGTGCAGAGAAACTTTGGCAAATGGGCAGGGCCCAGCTTTGGCTGGGATGTGCTGCAGGGCAAGCTCTGGGGAAGAGGTGGGCCCTCTGGAGTCCTGCTCTGTGTGGGCTGAGCTGGCTGGGCTGGTCCCGCATTCCAAGCCTGCTACTCACTGTGAAGTAGCAGTGAAGATGACTCATCCTCGTGCTGCTAGGGAGATGCCCTGCTTCCCTCTTTGATGCTCTCAGTCCCCCTGGGAGTGGAAAGAGGCTGAAGAGGACATCGTGGCTACAGTCCAGCCGGGGGTAAAGGACATGGGAAGGGACCTCAGCTACCATCTGAAACCTGGAAGTAGTCAAAAGACCCCCGCTGCCCCCTGCCCTCAAACCAACTCCTCCAACCACAACACTGGGCCAGACTGGGCCACTCTCTGAGCCAAAGGCCAAGGCTATTTTTAGAAGTCAGACTCATAAAATGTTCACCTTTTGTGGGACCAGGGTACAGGAGTCTGGTGGCAGCATAGTTCCAGGGCACATCTAGGAAGAGGATCGGGACTGTGGAAGGGGTGGAGAAGTTACAAGGATCAGAAGAGGCGAGTGAGACCCAAAGACGTCAACCCTCGTAACACCACCCCTGCCAGCTCCTGGCATTGCAGAGAAACTGAGCATTTTATGGGTGAAGAAACCCACGGTTGGTGAGAGGAACGAGCACTCAGGGTCTGTCTGGCTATTTCCCATGAGCCTAGCACTGCCCAGTACCAGATCACTGAGGTTCTTCTAGTACTATAGATGCTCCATACTTATAGTTTGAAAGCAGTCACAGTGGACATGTTTACATTATCAAAAATGCAACTGCTGCACATTAGATCTCAGGACCTCCTCTCCCGACCCCCACCCCACAAAGGTGTAAACTGTTATCTGGATCTTCCCTAACTTTGGGATCCTCTTACGCAATCGTAACATGACACACTCATGCTATCTGCAGAAGAAGTCACAGCCATAAGTCATTGTTCACTTTGTCCAGGAAGGAATAGAGACTCCTAGGTTAGCAATGTTCAAGGTTCAAGGTCACAGATGGATAGATTAGGGAAGAGAGAGGGCTCTCTGACCCCAAAAGTCACAGTCATTGCCTGGTGTGAGGCAGCCTCCCCTTACCCCCCCCAGTCGTAGTGAGTCATCCAAATAGGAAATCACACTCAGATGACTGTGCGCAGTCACCCTGTCACATATGCTGTATAAAGAGAGGTTAAGTCAGAGTGGGATTGGGGAAAAAGGAGAGGTTAAGTCTTTTTCTGATATTTTTAAATTACAGAAACCAAGACTGCAGAATAATTGTTAAAAATATGGACTCTTAAGAAAGAATGGAAACTGATAGCTCTTCTGCCTTCTTTCCCATCTCTCCCTAGATGGCACGTTTCTATCCGTGTGTTTCCGGGACACACATGTGTAAGACTAAACACAGAGACACTCTGGGGCTTATTCCTGACCATCCGGGTCAATCACACTCGTCAAACGTTCAGATTTCCTTTTCTTTTTTACTTAAATTATCGTGTATGTGTGTGTGTGTGTACATATATATATATGTGTGTGTGTAAGTGTGTATGTGTGTGAGTGTGTATGTGTGTATGAGTGAGTGTGTGTATGCGTGTGTGTATATGTGTGTGTGTTTGCGCATCATCACTTCATCCTTTTCATCCTTTTTAAAATGACCTTATTTTTTGAAATATATATGAATTGGTATTTGTGTAGAAAATCTATTAAAAGAAGCCATGAGGGGCTGGAGAGATGGCTCAGTGGTTAAGAGTATTGACTGCTCTTCCAGAGGTCCTGAGTTCAATTCCCAGTAACCACATGGTGGCTCACAGCCATCTATAATGAGATCTGGTGCCCTCTTCTGGCCTGCAGACAGAACACTGTATACATAATAAATAAATCTTTAAAGAAAAAAAAAAGAAGCCATGAATTTGAGAGGGAATGAGACAGGGTTGGAAGCATGGGAAGGGTTGGAAGGAAGGCGCAGGGTAGGCAGAAATGGTGTAAATACAGTACACACATATGAAGTTTTTAAATTAGTTTAATTTTTAAAGAAGAAAGCATATCGTTGGTGGAAAACAAGTAAATATGTGCTCTGACAGGGTCTTTAAGGCCAAACTGTGTTAGTCTCATTCATCTCCACTTAAGGGAAAGTCTCCTGACACAGGTAGTACACTTTTACAATCCTAGATACTTGGAGGTCTGAGGCAGGAGATTGCTGGTTTAGGGCAATCTGGGCAATGACATGAGACTCCACTTTGAAAAAGTGTGAGAGTGGGACTCTACACCAGAGTATTTGCTAGCAGGCTCCAGTACTTTCTCTATTATTAAAAAATAAATAAAAGTCTAGTGTATTGGTACCCCAGATTCATTCATTGTACATCTCATGTTGTGACAAAATGCCTAAAATAAATCAATATGAGGAAATCAGGGCTTATTTAGGCTTACAAGCTTGAGAGAGCAATCCATCTTGGCTAGGGAAGGCATGACAGCAGGAGCACGGGGCAGCTGCTCACTGCATCTGCAGCCAGGAAGCAGAGAGGTGAAAGTCCGTGTGAGTGTGTGTGTGTGTGTGTGTGTGTGTGTGTGTATTCACTATGCATACTAATTTATTCTGGGATCCTAAACCATGGAATTGTGCATCTATATTTAGGGTTTATTTTCACACCTCAATTAACTCTGTCTAGAAACTCTCTCACAGATGTGCCAAGAAGTGTGTTTCCCAGGTGATGCTGGATCCTCCCAAACTGGTGATCCACATCAACCTTTTCAGGCAGTCTCTAGAGCTGGGCCTGGATCCAAATCTCAGCTCCACACTGGGTTCCCCCACTACAGGGTGTGTTTTGTGAGAAACTCCTAAATCAGCTTCTGGAAACATCTAGTTCTCAGTAAAACAGAGATAATAATAGTGCCAACCCCACAGATCTTTTGTGTGCATTAAAATAGCTAACACTTTAAGATCTTAACACTCTTTAAAAAACCTCAATTTGTGCCAGTAAATGTATCACAACACATCAAACACAATAACACACTAATTCATTTAACCCACGTAATGTGCTGTTACTTATTTGTGTATTTTCAAGGTCCTCAGCACACACAGATTGTGACCTACTGTGGCAAAGTGCTCGGGCCGTTCCCCCAACCTCCACATGATGCGTGTGCACTTACACACAGTCCTGTTCAGCAACCCCAGGTCCCTTGCTCTGATGGAGCCTCTTCACCCCTCTGGCTGCCTTTTCCTACTACTCCCAGGGTTTTGTTGAGCACAACAGATCTGAGCCCAGCGCCCCATATGTTCAGGCACACAGATCCAAGGCTTTGAATTCTGGTGATCTGGAGCCTCCATGGCACAGAAGAGCTTTCTGTGGCCTTCTATCCAAGCACTGGCTCATCCACTTGCTACAGTGGGGTTATGTGAGTCATGAGTGACTTGCCCCTTCCCCCATCATACATACACCTCGCATGTTAGGGATGGAAGCCTTGTTCAAGTTAAGCCAGCAATGTAGTAGCACTGAGCCATATCCCCAGTGGAGTGACCCTTCTTTGAGCCCTGTTTGCACTCACCTGAAGGCTACGGTGAGGAGAGCCAGCTGCACGAAGGGTGGGTACCACTGTAGGTGCTCAGCAGTTGCTGGAGCTTTTCCATTTTCTGCCTCCGTTTTGAAACTCTTAAGTCCTTTTAAGATATTGTGTTGGTCTTTTAAGATAAGTTAACACACTGTGCTGACGTGTTAGGAAAGAGCACTTCGTTGTTCTCGGACCCCTTGAAAAGAGATAACTGGTGTTCAGAGTCACCCGGCCCCCCCTTCCAAAGACTTCTCAGCTTCGTCTCTGTGGCTCACCTTTGCAAGCAGCAACATTGTTGCTGTATGTCAGCCCTGGTTAGTGTCGTTAGTTCCCTGCCTCTACATCTACATCCCTAGGAGATGGGGAATTTTTGCTAAGCTAACTAGAATAATATGGATGGATGGATGGATGGGTGGATGGATGGGTGGATGGATGGATGGATGGATGGATGGGTGGATGGATGGATGGATGGATGGATGGGTGGGTGGGTGGATGGATGGGTGGGTGGGTGGATGGATGGGTGGATGGATGGATGGATGGGTGGATGGATGGGTGGATGGATGGATGGATGGATGGGTGGATGGATGGGTGGATGGATGGATGGATGGATGGGTGGATGGATGGATGGATGGGTGGATGGATGGATGGATGGGTGGATGGATGGGTGGATGGATGGGTGGATGGATGGATGGATGGATGGATGGATGGATGGATGGGTGGGTGGGTGGATGGATGGATGGATGGGTGGATGGATGGGTGGATGGATGGATGGATGGATGGATGGATAGATGGATGGGGATTGTCAACCTCAATCTTGCTCCCCTGAGGCAAATCAATCACCTTTTCTATTCTCCATCCCCAGAATTTTCTTATTTCATTCTCTTCTCCACACACACCATATGCCTCACTGCTTTAGGCCCAGCATGCTGTCAGCACCATCCCTTTTCTGTGTCTGGGAAGCAGTTTCTAGTGTCCCTCAATCCCTGTTCTTTCTTCCCTGATGCTTCCTGGAGCAGGTCCTAGTGTTTCATCCTAGTTCAGGGCTTGCATGTGTTCTCTTCACAGGAAAGGAAGGGGTACATCTGTTTATATTCAGTAGTGCATGTATTAATTGCACTTAACTACTTTTGAATGTATATATTCTGTATTTCATGGGAGCTGTGTATGCACTGCTTACCCAGCATTCACAAAGCCTTGGCTTCAATCCCCAACACTGAAAAAAATTAATGGAATTGTTATATCAGTTGATATTGCACACATAACTTACACTTACATTATACAGCATGGATATTTTCCCACATATAATAAAATATTTCAAATACTCCATTCTGATGACTACTAAGCAATTTGTCATGTGTCCTGGCCTAACTACTTCTTTACTGTTGAGTGTTTATAAGTAACACTGGAAGGATGGTCTTGAAGTCTTTGCTGGAGTTTCTGGTGATCTCTGTAAGAAAAATTCCTAGAAGTAGAGGTCCGAACTATTTTGAAGTTTGCCACACGTGCTGCCAAGTAGCTTTCCAGAAACATGTGCCCATTTCACCCTTTCCAGCTTCTGCAAAGAGCCTTGTGATTCTGCAAGGGCAGCGCACTTTGGCTGGGGGAGGGGCTCATCCATCCAAAGCCTCCAGGCAGTCCTGACAATGGACCCCTTGTCCTGCCCACCCCATCCCCTCTTCCCACACTGGTCTCCATTCCCGGCTCTAGGCTGTGCTGTGTGCGAGGTCTCTGTGCAGATCCGTCTTGCTGTTTGGCACTCCGGGCTACCTCTCAGAGCCCGACTCTGAAGAGCTGAAGGGTGAGTGAGCTGTCAGTCTTGTAACTTTGGCAAAGCAAAGTTAGGGGAGGGTATGTACAAGGTGCTGAGTCATGTGCGTCCTTCGGGAGGATGGCCCTCACTGCAGTCCTTAGCCAAGGACAGAGATCCTGATAGCCCGGAGGAAAACAGAGCTCAGACGTGAAAGGAGTCACAGGATGCTAAACACTACTTGGAAGGTGTAGTGGAGGACACGTGGGAGGACAGCAGTGACTGGGTGTGGGACGGTCGGCCCCAGTGACCATGGCCACACTCTAGTGTGAACGTGACCTCTGTTTGCCCACAGACTCTGAAGCCACTCATGAATCCCCGGAAGAAAGTGGACTTGAAACTTATCATCGTTGGCGCACTCGGGTAAGCCAAGCCCTGCTGCTGTGTGTTTGCTAGGAAACAGCTTTAGCTGGGAGCAGCAACACCTCCAGGCTGTGCTCCCACCTCCAGGGGACCCTTTCTGAGTCAGAGTGGCAGCGAAGTGCATCCCACTTCAAGTCTGGGAGCTTAGCTGTGAGAAAGAAGCTAGCAAGAAGTTCTTGCCTTGGGCAAAGATCTATGTAACGGCCTATGCAGCCATTCAGTATCTCTGGGTCCTCCGGTGACCTGCCACACCCAACACAAGTCTGAGCACCGTGTGGGACACCCAACCTTATCCAAAAGTGCTCATCTGGATTGATTTCTGCTTCTAGAAACTATTCCCAGTGCTTTGCTCCCAAAGGCTAGTCTCTAGGGCATTGCTACTGGAAATTAAGAATCCCAGTAACCCTCTCGAGACACTTGAGCCCATCCTAGGGTGTGACTATTGTCTTTCTGTGGCTCCCCCACAGAAAGTCACTCATATATCAAAACCTGTTCTTAAATCCAACTTTGGTTCAGAAAAAAAAAGAAAAAGAAATTAATTCAAAGACTCAAGGAAGGACTGCAGTGCAAAGGGCATAGTAATGTCCTGAGAATGGCATAGCTCTGTGTGTGTGTGTGTTTATAGGTGTACATTTACACATTTGTGGAATTTTTCCCTCAGTGTGGGGAAGACCTCTCTCCTTCATCAATATGTACACAAAACATTTTTTGAAGAATACCAGACCACACTGGGGGCCAGCATCCTCTCCAAAATTATCATCCTGGACGACACCACTTTGAAGCTCCAGGTGAGCAGTCCCCTCCACTTCTGTAATACACACACCTGAAAGTCACCCGCTTACACAGCACAGTGTACTGGGAGCTTGGAGGACCTGGTGTGAGATCAGTGTAGTACAAATCATGGGCTAACTCCAGCCTCTTCGCTGGGGCACACACACACACAGACACACACACACAGACACACACACACACAGACACACACACACAGACACACACACACACACACCTGTTTACCTACTGCAGCAGAGGTGAATAATGTGGCAGAGACAGGTGACCTACAAAGCCAGAAGACACATACTGTTGGAGGCTGGGGTAACAACCACTGCCCTGGTAACCTAGAGAAAAAGTCAGAGCTGTGGTGGTGTGGGTGGGTGGGAGGCTGCACCGTGAGTGTGGGAGTGCCATGCATGGGAGGCTGCTCCCTGGGTGTGGGAGTGCCATGCATGGGAGGCTGCTCCCTGGGTGTGCCATGCACACTTGCACTCGGGCTTTCCCCATCCAGTAGTGAAGCTTTTGGCGTGATCTAGCCGTCCTGGGTTTCCCTTCAGCTACTCACTCATCAGAGCCTGTGGGGCATTGCTCTTCCTCTCCAGATCTGGGACACAGGCGGCCAAGAGCGGTTCCGCTCCATGGTGTCAACATTCTACAAAGGTTCTGATGGCTGTATCCTGGCATTCGATGTCACGGATCCAGAGTCCTTTGAAGCCCTGGGTATCTGGAGGGATGACGTCCTGGCAAAGATCATCCCCATGGAGCAGTCGTATCCCATGGTGGTGCTTGGGAACAAAATCGATCTGGAAGACAGGAAGGTACTGTTCATTCATTCATTCATTCATTCATTCAACAAACAGTATATAACAACTGCATACTAGATGCTGTGTTAGGTCTCACACATGGTGCTGACAGAGTCCTCCCTTCAAGGATTCACAGTCTAATAGTGAAAATTATGGTACAATGTGGCAAAAGCAACTATAGTTAGACACTTTGAAGATTTGGAGATGAGAACAAAGGATGTCTAATCCAGAATAGGGTGCTAGCTTCTCAGAGGAAGTGGGTCCTAAACTAAAAAAACAGGATTATGGGAACTGAGACACGAGTAACAGGAGTAGGAGAGTTAGAGCCTCAGAGGAGTCAAGAGTCAGGTCTCGGTGGGATCCAATTCAATCTTAGGACAGTATCTCTGCCTAGAGTTACAGAGGGATCTGAAGGTACCAGTTTATGGATCTGTAGATTTTCCAGAATAGTTGACAACTGGTCTACCCCATGACTGCAGTGGCCCCACCGATATGGGTAGTAGCTGTCACAGGGCTATTGAATGGAAAGTTCTACCAACAAAAGGCTGTCTTAATTTGTAAAAACTGAGACAAAGGTATTTTGTGCCAACTGAAGCCCAAATAACACCCAAAGGAGCTGTTAGTTAAAACCATGTTCTCTCGGTATTTCTAATGGAAAAGTGTTGATGGGGAACTGAGTCATTGTGCTGGAACTCGGTTTTCACAATGGTTCAAACAGAAAACCGCAGGAGAAATGAACCAAAACTTAGTACCACAAAGGGTGGGCAGGAGGAGGGAGAGAGGCAGCAGGGGCGCTTCCAGCTGCACCCACCTGCACAGAGGAAGGCTCCTGTCCAGAGAGGAAGACATTTGATCTGGGTGACCAGAATCTGAGAAGCAGCTGCGGAACTGGCAAGCTTTGGGATACCTAAGAACAAAACTTCAGGGGAGAAGCGTGAGCTGGAACTGAGTCTCCAGCTCCGTGTGCCCACTTCAGGTCGGAAACTCAGTGTCAGTCAGACATCCTGTCTCAGACAGTCATCCCTGTCTTCCCACGCGGGGCTAGCTGCATCGCATCAGGAACTTCTCCATCAGCTCTACAAGCCCGCAGGCCCCACCCACTTAAGTCAGATAGGAGCTCTGGGGTCTAGTCCTGTCTGGAGTGAAGCAGGAAGAATGAGAAGTGGTCATGGAGCAGAACAAGTCTTGTCTTGTGGTGTGGCTTTGTGTGCTCTGGCTGGCAGGTGTGGTAAGGCCCTCTTCTATGAATCATTCCTTCGGGTCCTTCTGACCCCCTGAGTGGGTGACATTCCATGGTGCCTGAGAGAAACAAGTGTCATGCAATCTCCTGCCCCTACTCTCTGCTTCAATCAGACTTCTTAGTAGCTCCAACCTGGCTGTCCCTCTATGGAACCCACACCTATGCGTACTCAGGCATTCTGGCCATGTCCTAAGGAAGGAGCCAGTTTTCTCCCCACTCATGACCTTTCACCTTGTAACCTTCAGGTACATGCTAGACCCCAGTCTATCACTGCTGCCAGGCGTCAGAGGCCATATGTTACAACCAACTTCAAGGTCGGCTTCTGACTCCTATGGGAGGCAGGAGTAACTTTATTTACTCTAAAGGAACACTATCCAATCCTTCCTTCCAAGCCTTGTTTGTCCATGTGGCGGGTATTAGTATCATCTAAGAGATTCTTCATCATAAACTCTTGGAGACATGCATGGTCCCAAGTCCATCCCACTGCACACTGGAGTCTATCCCATTACAATGCTGACATCCAAACATCCACTTGAACATCGTTCACACATCCAAAGGTCAAGTTGAGGGAGTTCAGGAAAAGGAGGCCAGAGCTTTCTCATTGAAGTAAGAGGTATCACCCTCCAGTGAGGAAGGAAGCCAAAAAGGAGGCTTAACAGTCACGGTAAAGGCTGGCCATTTAGAATCGCTCTAAACTCCATAGACTCCAAATTAATACAGTTTATTAATTAATACAGGATTCTGATTACTTCATTAAAGCTGATGGAGGAAGGACAAGGACGTAGGGCTCAGCTAAAGGAGGAGGCTGTGAGCTTCAAGCAGCATCAGTGAGTGTGTTCAACAGCCCTGCTAGAGCAAATGCTAGGAACAGAGGACCTGAGACTGCAACTTCTCCAAGCAAGAGAATCAGCGGGTGGGGTTTGGAGGGCTCCGAGGAGACCTGGAGGAAGGCGGCCGGGTAGCTGGAGCATCAGATATTAGAGAAGAGGATAGGATGGGTGTTCAGAACTTGAAAAGAGAGCAAGCTGTGGTCACAGAAAGGAAGGCTAGTTTTGTCTTTGGCTCTGATTCTGTGAAGAAGATGGAGATGTGCAGAGATTGTTGGTGGAAAAGGAATTCTGGCTACTTTGAGTAGTGGTAGCCTTGTGTCGATGGAGAAAGGAAGCAGATTGCAATGAACTGTCCAATGAACGGGGTGCTTGGCTGGGTGAAGGGCAGGTGATGGCTCATGAGACAAATGGTCTGAGCCCAGCAGGGGGGCTTTGCTTTAGAGAAGAAGGGGGTGACAGAAGCAACAAGGCACCAGGCAGGCCGAACCCCCCATCATCTATGGAAAGGCAGATACGGGAATGACCTCAGTGGAGACAGTGACAGGGAGGGAGGGAGACCCGAGGAGGAGCCAGGGCCAGCCAACTGCGGTGGATAAAGGATGATTTGGGGAAGACGAAGGCAGTTTGTCTGTCAGCAAGGTGGCCCAGAGAAGGGGTCTGGGGGGAGGTGGCCGAGTGGGAACCAGAGCTAAGAGGTACTGAACAACAAGGAAATGAGTTCAGGGAAGCAGGGAGGGGAAGTGGGAAGAGAAAGCAGAGAGATTTTCCACAAAGACCCCATAGTGTTGGGACCAAGAACTAAGGAGGAGCAGCTCCAGTCCTCACATCTCTGATGCTGACTTAGCAAAGAGTTTATCAGCGCCTGTTTGGGATGAGGAAAATGGCAACTAGCCAAGTGACTACAGCGAGGGAGGCTTGCGCTCACTGGCACAAGGCTGAGGGGGTAGGCACCATCTCTTAGTGGTCTGCCATGCTCCCTGTTTGCCCTGGGTCCACTCCGACCTCTTCTCTGCCATGAAAACCAGAAGATGGACTTCCCTACATTATTTGACGGTTAAGGGAAATGTTGTAATTGTATCCTCCTTAGGGACAGGTCTTGAAACGTAGTTTTTCCCACTTTTTGTTGTGGTTGTTGCTTTTTGAGACAGGGTTTCTCTGTATAGTCCTGACTGCCCTGGAACTTACTCTGTAGACCAGGCTGGCCTCAAACTTGCAGAGTTTTAAGTTTAAATTTAGATTAGAAACAAGGTTGCTTCACAAGTCAGTTCCAGGTCCTTCTCCCTTTCCCTCCCCTCCTCCCGTGCCCTTCCCCCAACCCCCCCCCATTGTCCCCTCAATTTCCCCAGGGAGGGTGAGGCCCTCCATGGGGGTGTCCATAGTCTGTCATTTCATCCAGGGCAGGGCCTAGACCCTTCCCCCCAAGAGTTCAGGGTGAGAGTGCATCTCACATTGTTGGATGGGAGTCCAAAGTCCGTGTGTATACTCGGGATGAATACTGATCTACTGCCCAAGGCTCAATAAATTACCTAGGCCTCCTTACTGACACCCACATTCAGGGGGTCTTGATCAGTATGTGGGGTATATCTTACTACAATAAATACACCCATATATGTGCAAATATGCATACAGCCAGAATGATTGGAAAGAAACTACTGGCTTATCTTTATTAAAAACCCTTCCACTGAAGACAACAGCGAGAAAACCTTGGTTCATGAGAAAGGGGCTCTAATGTCTGAGCTACAGGGAATTCATTCACAAGAGTTCTAATACTCTATTCCATGTCCCAGCATAATTTCTGACCTACCACCAATGGATCTGGGATGGTGTGTCCTACAATAGTCTACAATAGTTATTCTTGGAGATTTACTAACTAATATGAGTATGTTGCTTACATGCATGTATGTGTACCACACACATGCAGTATCTGCAGAGGCCGGAAATGTGGCATCAGATCCCCTGGAACTGGAATTATAGTCAGTAACTGAGCTGCCATATGGTGCTGGGGACCACGCCCAGGTCCTCTGTTAGAGCAGCAAAGATTCTTAACTGCTGAACCACCTCTCCAGGCCCCAAACATGCTAATTTTAAATTTATATGGCAATCATTTTCAGTATATAAATGATGAGAAAGCATCAAAACCAAAATTATACAAACTGGAGCCAACATGGCAGCTCAGCAGTAAAGAGCCTGATGATCTGAATTTGATGCCTGGGACAGACATAATGGAAGGAGAGAACTGACTCCTACAACTTGTCTCTGATGTCCACACATGTGTTTAACATGCACACACACACACACACACACACACATACATATACATACTGTAAAATAAGTAATAGTAATAATTTTTCTGCAAGCTGGTCTAGTTTTTATCAGACACTGGTTCCCAATGAATGGGCAGAACCAATATGTTAACATCCCATTGTAAGCAAAAGGAAAACCTGTGAAAGTGACAGTAGTCTTCAGGACCACGTCTTGGATTTACTTTTAGAGTCCTCTGAGCTTAAGTTCTAAAAAAATTACTATGCTTCATAAACAAAAGACAAGATGATCTTCAAAGTCATGAAATCATAGCTGGAATTGGAGAAAGCTGTAAGTGCTGTCTGATGGCTTCTTCCCAGGTCAGCTCTCTGCAGTGGGAGGGACTGGAGACCCAGAAAGAAGCAGCTGTAGCATAGTCTCAACTGATGCCCTGGAAATTCTGCTCAGTCGTTTTCCAGACCCATCAGATACAATGACGCGGATCTTACCTGCAGACATCGACATCACTCTCCGCTGCTTCAAGGGAAGGGACAGCAGAGCTGACTGTCACTGCAGCTGTCTCCCAAGCCATGACACAGTGATGTCAGTGAGTGATCAGCCTGGACACAGCCCTAGGCTCCTGCTTGTTATGCATTGATATAAAACAGTGTCCCCTGTGACCACAGCTTAGGGACACAGTCCCATTGCTCCCACTTCGCTCCTGAGCACCAGCTAATGGTTGCAGTTAAGCACTCAGCATCTGGGGAGATGGGAGTTGGAGGGGGCGGGGCATAGAGAAGTGTAAGTCTAGTCTTGGCCCTCAAAGACTTTGAAAGATCCAAAACACTTCAAGTATGCAGGATGCCACCAGTGTATAAGGTGTTACTATCTATTTTAAGATGCCATCCAGACTTAAGGTGTTAATATCCAGTGATTATTTACCTGCATGTTACTTGTACAGACATCCCAAGTCTTCCTCTAACCGTCTAGGATTTACTGCAGTCTAGGAGGAGTCTTGGCGGCTTACAGGATCTTGGCCATCTGTCCCACGGGAGGGAGCATTCCTCCCCTTTTCCCAAAGTGGGAAAAGCTTAGGCATCAGAGGCCAAGACTGAGGCCTGGACGTTCTTGCTTAGCTGACCACAGTCTTAAGTTGCAAACCTCACAATGCCAGAGCCATGCTGGTGGTCAGCAGAGGCACGGTGTAAAGAAGACATGTCCACTGGCCATTCTTGCCAGTCCTGAGACCAGGAGGGCAAGAACCAGAGGACAGTGGACAACAATGGTACCTCATAATCGCAGAAAGAGAGGAGTTCCCAGAACCTGCAAGCGATGGGAGACAGTGTGATGGGTGGGGCTTTCATCACCCCGCCTTCCCTGTGTTCTAGGAAAAGGCACAAATGGTCCTTTCTCTGGAACAAATAGCTTGATTCCCTTAAGTAAACGTAAATAATGTTAAAGTACCAGCCACAGCAAGTGTAAGATATATGGCAATTTCCCCTCCACGTAATTCAGAATGGGGCGTGTGGGGTCCCCAACTGCGTCTAGCTGCTTGCACTTAGAAGCCATGTCCTGCCTCAGCGGGGTCACACATGTGGGCTGAGAATAGAAAGGTGCTGAGCCTGCACTGAGGGGACCTGAGTCTCGTGGGGCAGCAGTGAAGAAAAGCAAGGTTCTTTCGAAGAGTCCGCAGAGGCGATTCAGATGCCAGGGACGCTGACTGGGCCTGCAACCATGCTGTGCCTCCCTCCCCTGAGCTTTGTGAGTCTAAACAGCCCCGAGCCTCTGCTCCTGCCTATGAAGCCCACTTAAAATTTATATGCATGTATAGGGGCAGGCATGAGTACATTTGTGCATGTGTGTCTGTTGAGGAAGGAGTATATGCCCATGGACGGCCAGAGGCCAAGGAGGCCATCGGCTGTCTTTCTGTGTCATGAACCTCCTTATTTCCTACAGATTCTCTCACTGCACCAGAAGCTTGCCATGGTTCTGAGGCTGACCGGACAGTGACCTCTCAGGATCCCCCTGTCTCTGACCCACAGTACTGGGGTTTCAGACATCTACGATCATATCCAGATTTATGGGGTTACCAGGGATTTTAACTCAGGTCCTCATTCTTGGGCAGGGAATGCCATCTTCCTACTGCCATATTAGGTCTTCATAATGACCTAATCTCCCTTTGAGGTCTCACCTCCTTTGTTCTCAGCATCGTCATAGTTGGGAATCAATTCCAACATGGGTTCTGGAGGGAACAAGCCACACTGAAGCCACAGAAGCAACAGTGGCGGTGGCTGTGGCAACAGCAACACAGAATCAGTGATCATTTCTCTCCCTCAGGTCCCCCAGGAGGTGGTCCGTGGATGGTGTAAAGAGAAGGACATGCCTTACTTTGAAGTTAGTGCCAAGAATGACATCAATGTGGTACAGGCCTTTGAGGTTCTGGCCAGCCGGGCTCTGTTGAGGGTGAGTGAAACCAGTTAGGCAGGGGTCCTCAGGATCCTCAGAGGGGATTGGAGCATTCATCTTTTTAATTATTTAGTATTGAATGGACTTCTCAATTCTTGTGCCATGGATGCCAGAGGCATAAAGTACCAGGGTGTAAGGAGTTGGTCTCGCAGTCTGGACAGCTACCACAATCCCTTGTGGAGTGTTCAAAATGTCAGTCCTGTACATGGAGCCTGGGCATCCTAATTCAGGGAGAATTTGAGAAGTGGTCTCTAGACCAATCCTCATTGTGGGGTAGAAGTCTCATGGAGCCAAGCTTGTATTCAGTCAAGTGGAATTTCCAGCCTATAGGAGCTGCTGACAGCTTCCAATCAGAAAGATAAATAGGCCCAGATGCTTTGATGTGATGGCTTAAACAGCATGTGTTGAGTGTGACATGTGTGCCGGACACTGTGCAGGCAGCAGGGGATCATCAGACTCAAGAGGGAGACAGAGAACATGAGTGATTGCAATACTTTTGCATGGCAGAGCACTTTGGTGAAGGAGTCTAGGCAAGGGGCATAGTGACAGTCCATGTGATGAGGGTGGTCGCTGAAGGCTGCCTAGAAGCAATTGTGGGTTTTTCTTTGTGTGTTTTGATTTTTTTTGAGACAAGGTCTGCAGCCCAGACTAAGCTCTGATTCACAGTCCTCCTGCCTCCACCTCTACAGTGCTGGGGTTACAAGTGTAAGCCACCATGTCCAGCTAACGGCAGAACTTTAATGTTACAATGTGGAGTTTGAACATTTGGCACACTTGGGGCTCATCTGGTCACCTTGTTCTGCCACCTTGAATTAAGAGAGGTTTCTTAAGAGAAGGGGACAGGCATAGTGTCACATACCCTTAATATTGGTACTTGGGAAGCAGAAGCAGTCAGATCTTTGTGAGTTTGAGTCCAGCCTGGTCTACATGGTGAGTTCCAGGGGAGCCAGGCTACATAGAGAGACTCTGTCTCAAACAAACAAAAGGTAATCATTGTCAGAGCAATGATTTTAAATGGCCGGAATGATCAAGGAGTGGTTAGGAGCTTGGGAGGCAGCCCCCCCCCCCCCCCCCCCCGTGGAGGTGGCTGGCATCATCCAGACTTACTCATGAGTGACTGACTGACTTGCATGACCCATGTTGTCCTGAAGAGAAGTCCTTAAGAGCCTGTTGGTAGGGACAGGCATCATTTGCCTCCAGCAGCTGCACAAAGAAAGTTAAGAGCTTTCTCTGTGCACATGGCCCAGAGGCTCAGGTCAGCCTCCAGCCCATCATAGTGCGTGGTCTGTAAGTGTAGCTTTGCCATAGACAGAAAAGCAGGCTGCTAATATGCCAGTGACATGCCTGTACCATTAGCCAGGACAGCTCATCACAATTTATCAGGGTTATGGGGTGCGATTATTGCCAAGCACTCGGGTCACAAGGAATCTTCCCCAGCCCACTGCTACTGTATATATGTGGCCATCATCTGTCCTTTCAGGGGAGAGAGTGTCCTTCCCTTCCCATTAAGTTGGAGCTAAAGTTTATCCTTCCTATGATGTCACTTCCACCACATGAGACAATTCGCAGTGCTTCTTCTACTTGTTTCCTTGCTAAAGAAGAGCTCGGCAACTCTCCACAGTTCCTGACATTTATGCAGGAGATTGAGCCGGGGCCTGGAGATCATAGGCGTGGTGTCTGCAGTCAGACCGACCTGGATAGAGTCCTGTCCTAGGAACTTCACATGCATGCCTGTCAAAGCATATGACTGATCTGAGCCTGTTTCCCCGCGTATAAAATGTGTCCTATCCCGTAAACATTTCCTGAGCTGTCACTCGAGGGTTCACGATGGGGCTTCACGGCACTCAGGCTGAGAAGTGTGACTCCCGAGGGAAACAGAGTGAACCAGGAGTGGTCAACAGCACTCTCTGCTTGTCCAGCAAACCCAAGTTTATTCCTAGTACCCATGGCAGGTGGACCACAAGCATCTACAGCTCTCGCTCCCGTGGATCTGACACCTGGCCTCTGCCCCCTTTGAGATCCATCACTCAAGAGTACATACCCACTTGTAGACTCACGCTGATACACATAATTAAAAATAAAAATAGATGCAGAAGCAGCAACAGCTCCCTTTTCTGTGTGTGTGACCCGTGGCCTTGGAGCCTGTAACCCTAACACCCAGTAGGGTTGAGATTCCAACCATAAGGAGACCCTGTCTTGAAAAAAGGAACCAAGGGATGGAGGTTCTTAGAAAGGGAGCCGGGTGGGCACCGAGGGACTTGTTAGGTGGACAGGGGCCTTCTCTGGGTGTTTGTTGGGACAGGAGTTTGGATAGTTGGCAGAGAGGAAGAAAGGGGGTGTGGAGACACTGAGTGGTAGGACAGTCTCCCTGCACCTGGGATGGGGCCTGAGGGCCAGCTGGGCTCACCCAGATGTCCAGGAGAGACAGGAAGAATCCTGGGTGCGGAGGATATTGGGGGTATTGAAATGTGGGGATGAGTACTCATCAGAGATGAGGGGTTAGCTGTCCGTCTCTGCCTAAGCCCAAATGTCACCTCAGTTGTCCCTTCTGGGAAATGGAGAGTTATGACACCTGGTTGGAGTCAGGAGCCTGAGCTCCTGTAATCCTTCCGTGAAATACTCTGGACTCCTGGGAAGAGGCAGGACAAAGAGGGGGAGGGAGAAGGGAGGAAGGCACAGGCTTCCCCTCCGGTCCTCGGTTTCCCAACAATATCACAGAGAGAAGACAGAATGACCAACTCCCGGGGCCCACTGAGGAGCCGAGTACCGGGGCTCTTTAGACCTCAGGCTGTGAATACTGACTTCCCTTTCCTCCCCAGTACCAAGGCACCGTGGAGAATCACCTTGTGGAATCCATCAAGCTCTCACCTGGACAGCCAAAGAGCAGATGCTGCTGACTCCTGGACTCTGACCCTCGCCGGCAGCTGTGCAGGCCGCTCATTCCAAACTCAACCCCACCAGACCCCTGCATGCCCCTGCCGAGCTAGGAGGCTGCAGCAGGAGAGCATGCCAGAGGCAAATCCTGGCCCGAGAGAAAGCACGGGGGTCTCCACGGCTCCAGCTCTTCTGCCTCCTCTCCCCTGACACAGTCCTGCTCACCTCTGCAGACAGGCTGCTCCTGTGAGCCCTGTGGGCCTATAGCTTTGGAGGCGGTGCAGCTCTGCCTCCCTCAGTGGCCAGGCTGAGGAGCCAGGACGTGAACTACTCCTGACAGGCAGAAGCCAACGGGCCTGAGATTTCCCTCGGCTTCTTCCAGGAAGAACTGAGGACACAAGACAAAAGTTGTTGCTCCTGCCTCCTGGGTTCTCGAACAGCTCCCATAACTGACCAGGCTCAGTGTGCCCGCCTGGCAGATGAGCAGTCCCACTGAGGTCTGAGGACCAGAAGATCCGTTTAAGTCACACTTGCTACTGCTGTGGGCACACACGTTTACGCCTTCAGCGAGTATTTTTGATGCCTTCTACGTACATTGCACTGAGGACTGGTAACACACCAACAGACAGGAGTCCTGATCTCCCAATGGCACATCTGGAGAAAGAGACAGACACAGCAATGAGGTGCTGTTTTAGACAAAGGGTCCCTGAGGGCTTTCCTGTGGAGGTGACAATTCGACTGACAGCTACATTATGAGCTACAGAAGATCGTGTCAGGAGAGGGGGCAGCGAGGCCAGGCCTGAGGCGATGGACAGCATGCTATGTCCCACATGAAAGCTCTTTACCTGAGGCCTCAAAGCTGCTGTCCTATGGGAAAGGCCTGGGAAATCCGGTCCCGGGAGGGCACCGTGATTGTTTAGTGACTGGCCACCAGGGGGCAGAAGTGTCCTCTGCCTCCAGGCTGCTGCGTTTGCTCTGAGGTCACTTGTAAAGATGGTTGTTTCTGTCAAGTGGACTGTTGATGCTCACTCCCAGGTTCTGGGAGAGTCAAACCTGGGTTTGTTGGGTAAGACTTCAAATTTCCTGGGTAAAAACTTCAGGATCCTTGATTTAGGCAACAAATCAAAATCAGAGACAAACCCCAGACTGAGGTACCTGAAGAACACATGGATTCTGTGTCCCGTACTTTTCAAGGCTATGACCTGCCTTTTCTTCTGATGTCACACAGCACAGATAGGGTGGCCCAGTCTGAAGGAGGTGGACAGGATGAGCTTTCAGGGTCTTCCATGGTCAGTTCATGACTTATGCCTACCACAGACATTTCCTGTCTCCTGAGTCCTAGGCAGGTCTGAGGTGTCAGTCTGAAACTGTAGGAAGAACTGCTTGACTCCAAAGACTCACTGAGAGGCAGGTGACACTAACCAGGGGACTCAAGGGCCCAGTCTGCGCCTGCCTAGCTCTGGAGTAGAAAGCAGACCACCATGGGCAGCAGTCACAGGAGCAGAGTGCACCCCAAGCACACCACCATGTGTATCCTCCAGAGATGAACGTTATCCCCCATCTCTCCCTCACACACACACCACACACACAGACACACCACACACACCACACACACACAGACACACAGACACACACCACACACACACACACCACACACACACACACAGACACACACACATACACACACACCACACACAGACACACACACACCACACACACAGACACACACACCACATACACACACACACACCACACACACACACACACCACACACACACACACACAGACACACACACATACACACACACCACACACAGACACACACACACCACACACACACAGACACACACACACATACATACACACACACACGCGCACACACCACACACACCACACACACACACACACACACACACACACGAGACTATCCTGGGAGTCAGACTGTGAAGGAATGTGTGGTGTGTGTGAGGGTGTGCATCCGCATTAGCATCACAGTGAGCATACGGACCGTAACTAATAAGCAGGTCCTTTGTTTTTATCCTTTGTGGAGCAATAGTCCTTTTCGGTCTGTGGTGGCAGTCTCGGTGAACTGGGGACTAGGAATGTTAAATCGTGAATTTCAGAAACAGTAACTTACAACTTTCAAGTCGCATGCCCTGTGGTGAACATCTGTGCCACCCTCCCCGGGCAGCCATCCCCCTGTTTAGTGTATCTACAGTGTGTGTGCCTCCACCCACCAGTCACTTTGTAGCTGTCTACGCTGCCATAGCAACTGTCATTCCCAATGCCTCTGCTAATAGTAGCCTAAAGTTACGTCACAATGCCTGCCACTCACCTCACGTTATAAGGTTGAGAATAGTACAATATTTTTGAAACATATGCCTATATCATTTTTATTACTGTACAGTCTCGTAAACATTTATTTCGTTATCAATTATTGCTCATCTCTTGCTGTACCTAATTTATTCATTAAACTTGATCATAGGCGTGTGTGGGTTGTGACTTTAAGCATCTGTGGTGGGTCACAGGAGTACTTCCTTGGATAAGGAGAAACTATAGTGTTCATGTTTTTAATTTAAAAAAAAAAAAAGAGTTGGCCATGGTGGCCCAAGCCTTTAATCCCAGCATGTGGGAGGAAGACTCAGGTGGATTTCTGAGTTCATGGCCCAGAGTGAATTCCAGGACAGCCAGAGTTACAGAGAAGCACTGTTTCAAAAAAAATAAATAAATAAAGATTAAGAAAGAAAAAAGGTATCATGATAAGTATAGGCAGTAAAATAAAAACTACATCATTTTCATGGCCCTGTAATGAAATGAGCTTATTCAAAAATTAAGAATTTCAGTACAGCAACAACAGCACCACCATCAGTGTGAGCTCTCCTATGGACAGGTCACCCCACCATGAAATAGTCCTGAGGACTCGATGAACTCTCAGCTGGAATGACAGAGCTTCAGCCTGGCCCTGCTGAACACACTGGGAAGAGTCTATGACAGCAGCACAGAGCCTTTGGCGTGCTTTTTAGAATCTCTTCAGAATCCAAATTGGAGTGGGGAACCTGTGGGCCTAGAGACTCACATCTATCCTATTACATCCGGGAGATGTACTGACCCTGATCCTCAGGGCAGAGTGAACTGAGCTGAGGAGCAGATCCAAGCGAGGGCTCCCTGTGAGCCTCTGCAGCCCACCATGACTCGAGTTTGAGCCTGGCCCCTTAGTACCCATATCAGCAGGCATAGGGACTTTGGCCTACCACAGTGGCACCCACTGGAGGCCCTGGCCCTCTGCATAACCATCCCTTCAAGGAAAAGACCTGAGTCTTTTTCCTATTGATCCTATTGACCCTGTTCACCACAGCCTTGCTCAGCAGAGCACCGCTGGGCAGCTGCTGAAGGGTGAGAGGCCGGGCCAGGACTCCTGTGCCATATACCCTTGGGGCTTGGGAAGAAACAAAGCCAAATCTTATCATCAAACAAACGAGGCTTGGACGCTAGGCCCCAGACTGCCCAATAGGACTTGGGAAGATGCCCATTTTTCCTGCCGTTTGCTCCCACATACAGAGCTCTGCCTAGTTGGTGGCCTCTCTATCCCTGGGCCACCAGCAAGTTCTCAGGCTCCACCTGCCGTCAGACACCTGTCTCTAGCCCCCACAGGGCAGCCTTGTTTATAGCCCAAGTCTGGAAGAGGCCATAGCAGCCTCCCTATACTGTCTCACTGCGGTGACCAATGTCAGCTCCACTAGGACAGAAGAGCCCCAAAGGGGACTTTCATGGCTCATCTCCCAGAGCAATGTGGGGGAGCCATTGGCACCCCATAAGTAGCTCTGGCGTGAACAGCACCTGCTACTATTGCTATCTATTGCTATGCCTCCTCGGGAGTCTCTTGAGGGCAGAGCCTGCTTTTGTTCTTGTGTGGGGGTGGTATTTTTGTTGTTGGAGGAGGGTGAGTTTTGTCTTTTGTTGTTGTTATTGATACATAGCTTTGAACTTGATATTTTCTACCTCAGGCTCCCAGACCATAGGGAAGGGGTGTTTTGATGCCTCATTTTAAATTCTCCCCTTAGTACTCATTTTTATAGATAGGTGGACAGTAGGGGATAATTGAATGTTAGATTAGTGAAAGACAATGGACTATTACATAGCTATTTCTTAATTGAATGCATAAATAATTTTGATTAAGACCAAAAACTCATTACTCTTTTTCTTCCCACCGTTTCTGGGTTGTTTTGTTTTTTTGTTTTTTGTTTTTTGTTTTTTGGGTTTCTTTTTTTTTTGGTTTGAGAATTTCATGCACTCACATAATGTGTTGTGATCAAACCCACTCTCCACTCCCTCCCTTTCCACTCCCTCCTTAGAACTTGACGTGCTTTCTTTTTAAAACCCTCTGAGTCTGTGCTGCCCTGTGGAAGCATCCCCTGGAGCACAGGCAGCCTCCCAAGAGCTGCATCCCCACCCCGCCCCTCAGCAGTCACCAACTGCCAACAGTGATGGGGTTTTAGGAGCCCCGCCCCGCCCCGCCCCATTCTCGAGGGGATGTTGGCTGGCTCGGTCTTGAGCATGCAATCACAACTGTTTACATAGCTAATCTTAACCCATGGTGTGTTGATACCTGAAAATTCTGTGTCAGAATCAAGTATGTAACTCCTTATTATTCTGTCATAGAAACTCTGCGTAATAGCTTTTACATAAAGAGAATTCTAGGAGGATAGGTGAGAAATCAATAAAAGTGGGTTACCTTCCATAGGAGAGTCTGGGCAAGTAGGATCGAGTCTTTCCAAAGTACAGGCCTTCGTTTTGAATTTCCAATTCTTTGAATGTATTACTCAACCATAAATTAAAAGGAAGGAAAAATAACTATTGGTGGGAGAGCGGAGGGAAAAGAACGAGAGAGGAGAGATCGGGATCCATCTGACTTAGCCATGGCCTTGATGCCAAGGCCGACGAACTGAATTCTAATTAGAAAGAAGGGCACAAGAATAAACTTCTCCAAGTCCACATGCCGGGGCGCAACGCCAAGCTACCGGCTGAGCAAAGTCACCTCAGTCTTTCTTGGTTCTCCTATGTCGAAGCAGAAGTCAAGTTTCTCCTAAGGGCCAGTCAATAACAGCATGTGTTTCCAACCTCAGAGGCTCAGCTCTGAGATTAAACTATCAAAAGTGTGCCGAGCTCTGTGAATTACCACAGAAATGATATGCTGGGATATTTCCCAAGGTCAATCTCAGGATGCTCGAGTCAGTCAACACCTTGGAACCCCCTAACCTAAGCCCAAAGTAGCCCTTCAAAAGAATTTCCTTCAGTTTTGTCTTGATTTGTGTTTTGTTTTGTTTATTTATTTGTTTTTTCAAGACCTTGTTTCTCTGTGTAACAGCTCTGGCTGTCCTGAAACTCACTTTGTAGACCAGGCTGACTTCAAACTCACAAAGGCTCTCTGTCTTCAGAGTGCTGGGATTAAAGGTGTGCACCACCACTGCCAGGCCTGTTTTGTTTCATTTTTAAAGATGTGTTTACGTGTTTACACGTGTGAGTACTTGGCCTGTGTGTAAGCTCAGGCACCTCATCTGCACCTCGTGCTGTGGAGCCAAAGAGGGGGTCAGAGAGTCTGGAACTAGAGTTACGAATGGTTGTGCGCCACCGTGTGGATGCTGGGAGGTGAACCCAGGTCCTCGGCAAGAACGGCCATGCTCTTCACTGCTGAGTCATCTCTCCAGCTGCCCCCTCCTTCAGTTTTATATGGAAACAGGTACAGCGACTTTTAGTTTGTATTAAGCTAAGTGGGCCCAAAGGCACAGCAGTTATGTACACATACCACTCCTGCTGGGTACATCAAAGGATGGGATCAAGAGTTTCTTTTGTGGCGTTTTTTTGTAACAGAAAAAGAAAAACAAACAAAAATGACAACAACTGGAAATAACCTAGACAACCTTCTGGGGGAAACCAGATAAATAAGATGTGTGATATAGTCCCCAGTGGAATTCCAAGTTGAGGGGAGCTGGAAGGAGAGGATGCCTGCAGGTGGGCATGGATGAGGCCACCCTCAGAGCGAGGGGAGGATAGCAGGCTGAGGAAAAAAAGAGACATTGCAGAACGTTGTAGTCAAGTCCAGACCCAGCAAAATTAAATGGAGTCTTCTCTCTTGTGGGTCAAAAACATATACAGCAAAGCACAAAAACCTAAACATAAAATTAATGTAGCTATGTGCCCTTGGCAATGTCAGTGGGGGTCAGGAGAAGGGAAAATGGGGCAATGGGACTAGAGAGGCATGAGAGATGACTAGGCCGAGTGGAAATTCTGTATCACTCACCCCAGCTGGCGATGAGGTCATTTTATCATGAAGCTGTGTATCATGGGTGGGTGTTAGCACATAGACCTTTTCATGACTCAAATAACCCAGTTTCAAAACCCACAACACACCCTGTGTGAGGCATGCCTAGCACATAGTAGGTGCTCAACAAACAGTTGTGATAAACAGTTATGGGGGCATTTAGTTTGGTTTCATTGCAGCAGAGTCTCTCTGCGTAGCCCTGGCTGTCCTAGAACTCACTCTGTAGACCAGGCTAGTCTCAAACTCACAGAAATCTGTCTCCCTCTGCATGCCCCCCCCCCCCCGAATGCTTGGATTAAGGACATACACCCCCACACCTGGGTTTGGTGG